TACTTTAATGGGGCATTTACATGCATACCGCTTAATGCTAATATATTATCATATCTAACGCCTAGTCTTTCATATTTACATTCGTACCACTCAAATTTTTGACATCACATAAAAAGTACCACTATTTTTACTTTTTAAAAGTGAAATACACATTTTCATGCATAGTTTTATAACACCAAAGTGTTATAAATGTATATATCAAATTTTTGGTGCTAGATATCTAAATGCATATGAATTTTGTGTTATGTATGTAATATTCTCTATTTTAATTCATTTACACCATTATATCATGTGCTTGGGATTAATTTATGCTCTTTTTATGAATTTCTTCGGAAATAAACCCATCAAATTTGCATTTCAGTTTCCCAAAAGGCCCTCGGTCAACAAGAGCCGTGAGGCCGCCTCTGAGTCCCATTTTGAAGTTCAAACAAGTTTCTGGTCAGTTAATCTACGGTGATGTTGATCTGCAGGACTATCCTCCTGTTCACAAAAAAAGGGGAGTAGATAGAAAATCTTCCAAAGAGTTCTATTTAGAGGAATCAAGCGAGATTGCTTTAGCAAATTCTTATCAATCTAAGATTGAAAACATTTCGCGGAAACGAAAACTCTCCCATATTCTAACTGGCAAAAACAATTCCAAATTATCGAGCAGTTATACCCCGGAAAGGCCACTTTTAACTTTTAGTTTCTTGCTGAACAATGGTTTGCTAGAAAGACTGTTGTTAATTGGCATGAAAGATAAGGTAAAATGTTTGAACTTGTGAGTTTGTTTGATTTATGCAGGATTATCACTGTAAGATTTATTATTGGAGGATTTACATGCATACAACTCAAATCTTATGTATTTACATGTCAACACCTAGACTTCAATTTTTACATGCATGCCAACTTATACATGAAGAAGTGTGTTTTACTTTTTAAACATCAAAATAGTGGTATTTTTGATGTGATATAAAAGATTTCGGTGGTATGAATGTCAAAATCAAAATTTAGGTGTTAGATATGTAAATACATAAGAATTGGGAGGTATGTATGTAAATGAGTTTTTTTTTAGCTAGAGCCTTTTAGATGTATAAAAGATATTGGGACCAGTTATCGCTACTCAGCACGCTGCTTGAAAAAGGTCAGTTGTTTTGCGTAATTGCTATTAAAATTTTCTTATTTATGTAGATATTTTTCCATTAAAGTTTTTGTAGAAATTGTTTGAGAAGGAAAAATTACTTAACTTCATTATTCACATGTAGGTTACATATATATAGTCAAACCAATTCCTCCTAATTTATAAACTTATCAAATATATCTAGTTTAAATTAGCAAAGCAAATAAATCTAAAATAAAAAATAAAGAGACATAAAATAAGAAGAGAATAAAACTAACAAAGGTTTTTCCAAAGATATCACCAATAAAATTTTTTCATGATTTTGTGAAGCAACTGGCCGACCCCCTTGGAGAGGAGCCGAATTTCTCAGTTTTACATGCTCCCCATCAAGCTCGGTGTAGATGTTGTAGAGACTAAGTTTAGTATTGAACTTTGAAAAGACTCTTAAAGGAAGAGCTTTGGTGAAGACATCAACAACTTGTTGGTGTGTCGGGATGTAGCTTAGTTGTCTAATTTCACCATTAACCTTTTCAAAAATAAAATGCCTATCAATTTCAATATTTTTGGTTTTGTCTTGATGCATTGGATTCTTGGCAATACGAATGGTTGCTTGACTGTCACAAAACATCTGTATAGACCTATTGGAGGTACACCCCATTTTCCTTAATAATTTTTAGATTTATATCCCTTCACAGATTCCTAAGTCAAGTGTCCTATAGGCTAATTCAACACTGCTTCTAAAACAACAAGTCGCTTCTTACCTCTTTATGTAACCATATTTTTCCATGGATAAGAGCAATACCATGTGGCGGACCATCTGTAGTGAGTTATTCAACTCAGCTTGCATCAGTGTAGACTTCTGCCAATGTGTGTATATGATTTTCTCAAAAATTAAATCATAACTAAGAGTCTTCTTGAGAAACCTCAGAATCCTACACACCATCTCCAAATGCTCTTCATTTGGATCATTCATATATTGACTCACAATGCTGACAAAATTTGCAATATCTGGCCTCGTATGTGAGATAAATGAGTTTTTCTACCAATCTTTGATATATTCCCTTAACCATAAATGTACTTTATTCTTCTTAGTAGACTTGTTGGGATTCATTAGAGTATCAACAAGATTGCATCCAATCATGCCTATCGCCTTTTGTTGATCTAGGATGTATTTCTTTTGTGAT